AAAAACGTGGCGGGAATTATTAGACAACGATCCGTTGAAATGACTCCACAGTCGGGGACATTTATCAAATGGAGAAAAAAGTAAAAGGGAGTAGGAGCGTTCACATTCGAACAAACCCAATTAATTTAAATAAGTTTATTTATAATCAACTAATGTGTACTGATTTTAAAAGAATTAATTAAAAAAAGAAGTTTTCGTTTATTTTTATATTCTCACTTCTTATTTATTATAATTTTAATTTATATTATATAATACTTTTATTTATTATAAATTTATTTAATTTTGTGTTTATTTTTGTATTTTTAAAATTCACGAAAAGAAGAGTAATCCAATTAAACTCTCAAAAATATTTTTATTAGGACAAAACCGTTGTATCAAATTCGAACCAATTCCCATTACCTATTTAAAAAAAAAAAAAAAGATCGAACCAATTCAATAATAGTTAGATTAGTTTAATGATAATACTATTTATGATTAAACTTTTAATTTGATTTCTTAATTATTGTATGGATCTTTAAATCAATTTTTAAATTAAAAAATATTTAATTTAATTTTTAAAGTTTTTAAATTTAATTTTAATTTGATATTTTCATTAAAAAACTTGATATATCCATAATTTAATAGTAAAAAGTAGTTATTTAATAATAAAAAAATTATTACTTAATAATCACATGTTACGTTAAATATGTTAATTATTTTTAATAAAAAGCTAATTTAAAATTAAATTAAAAAAATATCAAATCAAATTAATTTAATCAATGCAGATTAAGCTCTCAGTTTAGTTTTTCAATTATTGTATAGATATTTTAATTGATTATTGAATTAAAAAAATTTTAATTTGATTTTTAAAATTTTTAAATTTAATTTTAAATTAGTTTTTTTATTAAGAAACCACAAACACTGCTGCATTAAGATGCGTCAGTTAACATTTGAAATGATTAAATTGCCCTCACAAAGCAAACTGCAGAGACTGAAACACCCCAAGTTTAAATCCATTGGCCACCCGAAAGGCCGAAAACAAGCCTC